TACCGCGTAAACACATGAGAAATAATCATTAGTAACATGTTAATTAAATACGATAAACAAAATCTAGTTAGATTATGCCTGAACGTGTATATAGTTTATTTATAGAGAAGTTGAAATTGTATCTTTCAAAAACCGTAATAACAGGCCAAAATTAAAGAAGTGCATATTCTCTGAGACAATTGGTAAAAATAACCCTTTAATTTATGTACAGAACATACAACGTCATAAAGTAAGTCTTTATATCAGTTTTATACCACTTTTTTTATAGAAATTTTATAACACTTGCTTATGTTCAAATTATTTATTCTATCGAAAATTGTTCAAATTGAATTAACATTATTCTAAAAAATATATATATTAAATAATGAAATATCACATTAATTAATGTTGATAAAAATGTTTAATGTACATTAGCAAGTGAATAAAAATTTACAAATATTAAATTATAATACTGAATATCCAATTTAGATTTTACAAAATAAGTGGGTTGATTGTTAAAATTAAAAATTTAAGAGGTAATTTGTTAAAATTATGATAAATTCAGAGGACAAATGTACTAGAAACCCACTGAAAATGTTGATTAACACACTATACTAATTAGGAAACAAATTTGATAGTGGAAGTCGATATTGACATGGACAAAAATAAAAAGAATAGCCATATTGTAAGAGATTAGCTATTCTAGTTTACCTCAATGGACTCTAGTAATTTGTAATTCTACTTTTCACTTAATTCAAAATTTCCTTCCTTAAAAAACACCAAAAAATAAAATTTCCCTTCCAATCAATTCTGAAAAAGGATTTTTTTTTTATATTTTTAAGTTTTTTGAGTACATATTCACATTCCCCCTTTGGATTTGCATTTACTATATTCTTAATATTTTGATGAGGAAAGGAAACTTATTACAAACAATTCAATATTTATCCGTATTCCCAGAAACAAAATTTAAAGGAAAAATTACAAACACACATTCTACTTTTGCATTTGCTTTTGAGGTATTTTCTACAATATGTGAGAAGGAAATTACTTAATAGTTATCTACATATGTAGAACTAAATTTAAAGGAAAATTTATAAATACATAATCTACTTTTGAATTTATTTTTAAGGTATTACATTATATTATGAGAGAAGGAAATTTATTGCAAGCAATTCAATATTTATCCATATTTGTAGAACCAAAATTTAAAAGAAAATTTACAAACACGTTCGACTCTTGGATTTGCTTTTGATGTATTCTCTACATTATGAGAATAAGGAAATTTATTGCAAACAATTCAATAGTTATCTATATTTGTAGAACCAGAGTTTACAGGAAAATTCCTTTGCAAAAAGAAAAATAAAGGAAATTTTATAAACACGCATTCTACTTTTGAATTTGTTTTTAAGGTATTATATCAATATTATGAGAGAAGGAAATTTATTACAAACAATTCAATAGTTATCCATATTTTGTAGAACCAAAATTTAAAGAAAAACTACAATACACATTCTACTTTTGGATTTACTTTTAAGGTATTCAGTAAGTATATAATGAGAGAAGGAAATCCACATTTATTGTACCAAAATTTAAAGAAAAATTTACAAATACACTGGTGAGTGATTTGTACCTACCAAAAATGATATCCATTGACACATATTCCTATTTCATCAATGTAACGGCTACATCTATAGGATACGAAATTCAATAACAAACCAAAATTGACTACACAAAATAAGCAATTCTTGTAAATAGAGAATCCAAGTCTTCTTTTTTTTTTTTTTTTTTTTTTTTTTTTTCCCCCCCACCCCCCTCCTTTTTTTTTTTCTTTTTTTTTTTTTTTTTACCACCTACTACCTACCAAAAACGATATCCATTCACATTGATTCCTACATCAGTCGGATATTGAATTTAATGACAAACCAAATTTCATTTTAAGAATTGCAACCCAAAATTAAGCAATTCTTATAGAGAATCCATGTCTTTTTTTTTCTCCATTGTATATGAAAATATACAAATAACACAGCTGATTGTCCCTACCAAAATTGATTGGAGGAATTGCAACCCATAATTAAGCAATTTTTACAGACAATCCATGTCTTTTTTTTTTTTCCATTGCATATGAAAATATACAAATACACAGGTGATTGCCCCTACCAAAAATAATATCTTTTTTTAGGGTATCATAAATAATATCCGCCAACCTAAACAAAAGAGACTTTAATTTCTTTAAAATTTATAAAAAAAAAAAATCGTAAATTTTTTCTTGCTCTAACCTTAAGTGTCGTATTCTCTTTTGCTTGCAACACTTGCATCATAATCGCTCTATTATATTTTCTCTTACCAACTGGTCACGTGATCTACATGCAATTAAAATTTTATTAAAGTTGCAACACGATATGAAAAGTTCCGGATCAGTTTTGTGCCATTTCAAAATGTAGGGGATAAAATATAATAACCCCTAATTTTTTAGGTTAAATTTGAAATTAATCAGATTAAAAATTACATTTTTGAAGGCAATAAGTTAAGAATAAAGATTCAGAGTTATTTTTCCTTAAAAAAATAATCAGAATTATTTTATCATTTTTCAACAATTAAGTCAAAAGACACTTGCACCACTAGTCAACCCGGCAAAACCTGATGTTGTATTTTCAAATAGAAAAATGCTTTAACCACTAATAACGTCTAATTCCAAAATTAATAAAAAATAGATTTCAACTGTGAGATCCATACTATAAGAGTCCGGCATGTTCTTTTGTCCAAAAAACTCAAAAAAAGACAACTCAAGTTTCAACTTTATTCAAGTTCATGTTCTTTTAAGTTTCAACTTTATTCAATTTTACTCAACTTTATTCAAGTTCTAACTTCAACTCAAGTTATAACTCAAATTCAACTCAAAAACTACACTCAAGTTACACTCCAAAAGAAAAAATTTGCCATCTCCATTTTCTTGTCTCATAAGCTATCTTTCTATTATTTATTTGTTATGTCATTTAAATTTAACAATTTGATCACATGAAAAGAAATTAAATATTAAAAATACTTAAATAATTCACAATATATCAAAATTAAATTAAAAGGACAACTAATGAAATAAAAAAATAAATCTTAATTCATATCCACTCTCTATTAAAGTGTAGTGAAAAACACCACTAATGTTCCATAATATCGTTCAGCTTCAGGTTGTCCACAAAGTTAGGTTGATTATGCACTTGACAGAATGGGCATTACTCTTGCATCCTTTCCTCAATTTGGGTTCAGGATGATTGGTGAAGAATAAACGAGAGAGATGAAAAACTAACCATTTTTATCTTTTTTGTTATTTAACTCTAAACTTCTTTTACAATTAATTTAGAGTAAATTACACGAATAGTCCTTAAATTCTTTAAAAAGTAACAATTTAATCCTTAAATTTTTTTAAAATTTTTTTTGAGCGAAATGAACGTCAAACTATTTAAAAAAATACAATGTAATCCCTACAGTCAATTTCTGTCCAAAATATAACGGCACAGTATATTTCTTGAGCCCTTCTTTTGGTTGGAAAGACGAAAATGCCTTTATAGCTGTTATATTATTCAAACAAATCAGTTTCCGCCCCAATTTCGAGAACTCTGTTTTGGTTTTTCCTTTTTTTTTTCGTTCATCCTCTTCATTTGAAGACCGGTGTTTGGGGATTGCTTTTTCAGTTGTGATTCACGCTTTGGAAACCCAGAAGCGACGGCGACGGTGAAAGGTGAAAGGCAAAGTTCGAAACCCAGAAGCGACGGCGAAAGGCGAAACCCAGAAGCGACGATGGTAGTCCGGCGGAGAAGAGGAGAAAAGCCACTACCTTTTGGTAGTCAACTGATTATCTTGTCCGATCATCTTGTCTTTCCCATCTTTGTCGCTGTCACGATGTGGCTCCATTATTGAACAATCCAGTTGAGGATTTTGTACCCCATATGAATCCATCATGTTCTCATCCAACCCATCTCTCACTTTGCCAGGTTGCCCCGCGGAAAGCCCCAATTTGGATTCTAACGAATTTGAGATGCAAGAAACCTCATCCATTGGTTCACTTGTTGATATGCAAGGCATATGAGCTTCTCCACCACACGAGGTTTGTGACTTGTAATCACCATCCTTTGCAGCCAAACTGCCGAAGTCCGAGACATCTCTATCAACTCAGAGCCTTCAAGTAGCCCCTCAGAATCGCATCTCTCAAGCACATCTGTACCACTGTCTTCAGCTTCGACAGAGTGACAACTGTCGTTAGACATAGAAAAGGAACCTTTGAAGCTTCCCTGCTTCTCCACCTTAGATGGCAATCCTGCGAGGCACGCAGGAGCACAGCGATCCACATCTGGGGATCAAATTTCACAAACCCTAAATCACACATACGATCAAATCAGCCCTAAAATCTGCCCCAAATCTCCCAATATGCCATTTTACACATATACCCCCAAAAGAAGGGGTCACGTGTGCCGTTATATTTTGGACGGAAATGAAATTGACGGCAGGGATTATATTACACTCTTTTAAATAGTTTAAGGTTCATTTTGTTAAAAAAAAATTTAAAATCAAACTGTCACTTTTTTAAAAGTTTAAGACCATTGGTACAATTTACTCATCAATTTATTATTGAATTCTTTTTCTTTGAGGAAAGAATCAAGTCCCAATTGATAAGTAGATAAATTCCAAAATTACAATTAGCAACAAAGAAGGTACGTTCAACTCCAGATGCTGAGATTCATGTTAGAATACTATTTTATTTTATTTTATTTTTTTTTAAACTAAACTAGCCAACACCTAAATTCAGAAATCCTTTTCCAAACTATAAAAACGAACATCAAAACGTGGATGATTTAGTTTTGCCTTTTAGCAGTCTATCACAGGGATCCTCCTGTGCAGAAATTATTATTAGGAGGCTTAAGCTGAATACTGACTGCCAACCGGATCAGTCAGATGGAATTTTGAGTCACAAGCTTGCATATCGTATTAATTTGGACCCAGTTAAACATCCAAATCTGCTTTTAAAAGTTTCACTTCCTTTGGACCCATCGCTCGAGTCGAAGCTGTTTCAGAGGAGGCCCGAGATTTGGCTTTCTTTTCTGAGGACATTGCCATTTCCCAACGATCTCTGTCACACCAGAGAGGTCAAAATTTGTTCTTTCGGATAAAGCCTTTCTTTCAACAACAGAATCTTCTCCACCTGATTGGGAAACTGTTTGTCTACCGGTCTCTTTTGGTATTTTCTGAAGATTTTCTGCATTTGCCTTGCTATATCTGCCCTTCCTTGTGGTAACAAAACCATCTTTTGAGATTTCTTTTCCATCATTCTCCTTGTCCTTGAATCCATGGGTTGATTCTCTAGTTGCCTCATTAACCAGATCTGATTTCCGATCATTCTTGGAAGATAGATGACCAGCCACCTGACGGCCTTTCGCTTCTGAGTCCTTTATGTTTTCCATCCTGCACATCAACTTTTGGGAAAGTTCTCTATCATTGCTACATGTTCTTCCTTGCATATGCAATGGCCTAATGCCAATTTCCCGCGAAAAACTGTGCACGCATTGAGGATTTTCTTGATCCAAGCTTGATAACTCAACCTCTTTAGCTGGATTTAATACAGGGTTTCGCATTGTTTCATTGCTTGAGCATTGTTCAAGAGTACTTCCAAAGCACATATTACTCTTGTCAGATAAAATATGTTTCACCTCTCCACTTCCGCGACCATTCTGTGCGTAGAAAACATGACTATGAGGAACAACTTTAATATCATGTAAAAATACCACTTTGTATATGCATCTTAACCAAGATTAGCTCTCACCCAAGTTGCATGTTGCTTTGATCATTGTGAATAATAGAACAAGAAATCAAAGAATAAAGAGCAGAAAATGGGAACAGAAAGAAAAGAAATAAGCACCTTATTTAGAAGCTGTTTTTCCAGCTGATTATTTCCGCAATAATTGCCACAGTTGGCAAGCCCGTTTGAACTTTCAACGCCATCTCTTTTTGTAGTTCTCTTTAGTTTGACATAACCCTCTGCCTTCTCTCTATTGCTTTCATCAACTATAAATCTGTCTTCTTCACATTCACTCTCTTTATTAAGAGAATCTTTAAAACCATCGTTTGTATCCAGAGCAGGAGATTCATACACATAGCTCGGGAACCAGTTTTTCACGTCAATGGGCTCTAGTAAATCAGGTAAACAGACAACAGAATCACCTTTTAGTTCTCTTCCATTCAAATCACAAGAAAACGGAGACAGATCGAGATTACACTTCTAACATTCCTATTCTTATACACACACAAACTACAAGACCGATAGTCGATAAAATTCGGCAAAAGAACTTGAAAAGAAGTTATACAAACCAGAAGAAAGTGAAGGCGAGCAGTAAGAATAAATATCCTACAATCAGCAAAGCAAAGAAACTTTGTCAACAAGATAAATCTTCAGAATTGATTGCTTGTCACTCTAAGCGCGCATTTACTAATTCATAAATGTAATGTATTGTTATCGAAATAGTAAGATTTAGGAAAGGAAAGAAAGAAGGAAATCAAGTATTCGATTTTTAGTGTATACTTACCTATCAAGAATTATTATTGCATTCCTAATTTAGTAAGTAATCACCGATAGTGTATATTTGTGTACATTAGATTCGGTTAAAATCACATCAACATGAAAAAGTAGGTATTTTTGACAAAATCACATCAAATTAAATACAAATTTGACAACTTAAAGTAAAGCCTTACTTATAGGTATTTTTTTTATTTATATCCTGAAATTCTCACCAAAAAAAAAAAGAAGACTACCTCACTCGAAGACTGATTTCCACCTTTATCATCTCCAACAAGCACTTCATCTTTCTCCCCTTTTTCCCCAAATTCTCTCAAACTTTCTTCTTTTCCTCTTTCACAATCATCGATAAGAATTTTCTCTTTCCTAACCACTTTCTCTTCGAAAACAGATTCCTCAAAATTATCATCGGAATCCAGTACAGGCGATTCATACTTATAGCTCGGGAACCAATTTCCAAGCTCAGGAGGCTCTGGCATAACAAAATAGAGTATAAATAAAATTTAAAAAAAAAACAATGAAATTAGCATACTTTGACATAAATTTTCATAGTTTCCGTTTGGCTGATGAGAAAATGCGGAAAAGAGGAACGAACCTGAGGGTATCGAGAGCGAATATGAAGGATTTTGAATCTGCGAAGAAAATGAAAAAAATATATATACACATAAAATTGAACAGTGCAAGCTTGAACGCTAACAATTTCTCGGAGTAAGAAATGAAATCTGGTAATCTAACCACGCGCATTAGAACTATCAGGTTTACAAGGTTCCCGGGGTACTACATTTGTATTTTCCCGCGTAGTTTCTCAGGAACCAAACGGGAAAAAAAGAAAAACAGATCAAAATTGTCATAAAGTAATTAGAGATAAAGAATATGTACCTGAGAATCGGAGGCATTGAGGAGAGAGAAGTCGGAGCTTTGGAGGTTCGGATTCGAAAACTCCATTAGATTCAGATTTCACTCTGAAAATGCGCTATTTATTTAAGTTTGAATTTCCCGGGGTGAAGTAAATCGCGCCATTTTATTCTTTATAGAATAAAATTTAAAAAAAAAAAAAGAGAAAAACGAAAATACGACGGCGGCGTGTTTGGAAGCCCTTAATAAAATTCTTTTTCCTTTTTTTTTTCTTTTTTACTTTTTTCCAATAATATGTGAAAGTGAAACTTTATCTAAAAAAAAAAATGAATTTCTCTTGTATTCCTCCTTTTTTAAAAACATCGGCTCTATTTATCAGCCGTCAAATCTATATTAAACATCAGTGAAAATCTAAAAAAAATAAAATAAATAAAATATGTCATGCTTTGAACACTATGTACAACACCAAATTTGACATCAATTAAAAGAAGTTAGGTACAACACAACCTAAAAAAGAAAGATCAGGCCCCGTTCATTTCGCTAATTCGAGTTTTACTACAGTAAAAAGTTCTCACAAACAGTCACATCTAACTTTTTTGCTACAGTAAAAAGCTCTCACATAAAATCACATCTCAACTCGAATTAAAAACTCGAATCAACGAACTAAACGATTGTTCTACTCTTAATTATTGGTGTGTCTTCATGAACTCTTCTCTTTAAAAAAAATAAAATAAAGAAAGTGTTGTTAGTGAATGATGAATTTATTGTAAATTTAAATGTTTTCATGATAGAGTGAAGTTTGTGTTCTCATGTCCACTTCAAGCCCACTTTTTTAATTATTTGTTATATTACATTCTTACAATATCTCACAATCGTTATAATTGGTTACTAAGACTTTTTAATCATGTAAAAGGGCCATATTATATTTCAAGGAAAGATTTCAAAAAGCTCTTCTTTGTCATTTTTTTCATCAATGTTGGCTCAGATTTTTCCTGAACTTTTATTCTCATCTAAAAATCCCCCTCTTGACTTGAAAAATGACGCACGCACACCCTAAACTTCAAATTGTTACAAGAATGACCCTTCTATTAGGCTCTCCATCTATGTTTAGGAGATTTTTATAATTTCTAATTTTTTTTTCTTTTCAAAGGACTAATCCACCAAACAATAAAACCAACAGTCCCTACAAGTTGTGGATCACACCAAGAATGATCATTCGAAATAAACAACTCCCTGAGGTTGCTTGAATTATGTGAATTGAAAAGGGAAAGAACTTTGGAAAATGAAAAGACAACACAAAATTTCAAAATTCTACCACCAAATGGTAATTACGAGGCGATTTGTAGAGGAGAGGTGTTAGGGTTTTAAGGGAGCCTAAGAGATCAAGAAGTTCACAGGAAATGAGACGCAAGAAAGTAACAATTTAAAACTTTGTTGTTTGCGATTTAGGGTACGTATGAGGAATTTGATTCTCGAGATTTTTAAGTCTGACCAATACCTAAACCCGAGGATGCTCCAGAATCTTTTCGATTGCTCGTTCGAGAACTACGATCCTTGGCTCTGGAATTGAATCATTTCCTTGTATCTGAGAAGAACTTCCAGATTAATAGGAAGGACGTTTAATCGGAATGAATCATAATTTTTCTTATATGATCGATCGGTATAAACATCAACAACTTCGAATTGGATCAGTTTCTCCTCAACAAATAAGTGCTTGGGCCAAAAAAATCCTACCTAATGGAGAAATAATTAGGAGGTGACAAAACCCTACACTTTTCATTACAAAACCAATAAACCTGAAAAAGATGGATTATTTTGTGAAAGAATTTTTGGGCCTATAAAAAGTGGGATTTGTGCTTGTGGAAATTATCGAGTAATCGGAAATGATAAAGAAGAGCCCCATACATGGTCTTACGACTTTGCGGAGACCTGTGTTTTTGGTAAACAGTCGCCCGGGCCTGGTCACTACGACCCCCTTTGTGAGGAGGCACCCCTTCTCCTGAAGTTACGGGGCTATTTTGCCGAGTTCCTTAGAGAGAGTTGTCTCGCGCCCCTAGGTATTCTCTACCTACCCACCTGTGTCGGTTTCGGGTACAAGTACCCTTTTGTTGAAGGTCGTTCGAGCTTTTCCTGGGAGTATGACATCGGTTACTTCAACGCCGTAGCGCCTTGGTACTCGAACATTGGCTCGAGGCATTTTCTCTACCCCTTCTTACCCTGAAAAAGTAGGGGCACCTTGCGTCCTTGAACCGATAACCATCTTTCGGCTAACCTAGCCTCCTCCGTCCCTCGGGACCAACAAGGGGTAGTACAGGAATATTCACCTGTTGTCCATCGACTACGCCTTTCAGCCTGATCTTACGCCATTTTGGGCGGAACAGATCTACTAATTCTTTGATTTCAGTTAGTAAGAGGGATCTTGAACTAAGAAATAGGTTCTAGAAGCTAAAAAAGGGTATCCTGAGCAATTTCAATAATCGGGTTCATTGATATTCCTGGTATAGTAGATGCTATCACACATACAATCATACTCAATTCGATGGAATTGTATGCTTTTCTCTCATGCCTTTCTTCGTTCATGGTTCGAAGACCGAGAGCTAACTATCGGGACTTTGGGCTATCCGGACACATACTTCGTGAAATGGTTCATGCCTGTTTGTTGCCCGAGGCAACAAGATCAAGTTGGTAAGGATTAAAATCTAAAATCCCTTAATTTTCATTTTTCTATTTATTTCTATGATCATCGATCATAGAGGACTCCTTTACCATTCTGTATAAATGGGATATCCTATTTGTACAGTATGGTCAACTTCAACTCTCAAATCAAAAGTGAATAGAATAAATCATACTTTCATACAATATTTTAATTGAATTAGATGTAATGATCAATAAATTCATCAGTTTAATTCTATATTTACACATATCAAAATTCTATCAATAATCTAATTTTTTTTATAGATATTTATACTGAAGTTGACGAACAACCAATAACAATATTAGTGTTTATTAGTGTCAAATATAAATGGGGCGTGAGTATTTGAGCCAACTTCATAGCTGGGTGCTCTAAAATGTCAAATGCATTTTAGCTTTCCCCTTAGGTTTTCCCCTCATCATCAGGGCACCATAAGCCTTGGACATTCGACAAGAAGTTGTTGATGCCCTAGAACAAAAGATGTCGGCGAAACTTGTGCTGACATCGTTTGGAAAATGTGACGGTATTTCATGCAGGGAAAGCAACCTATTGAATATTCCAAAAATTTCATAATTTCATCAAATTTTGTATCTGTGTATTCTTTTGTAAATTTGATTTGGTATAGCAATATGGTCTTCAAATAATGCATACATGAGACACATACTAATATAATGACAAGACGGTAAAAAATTATTAAATAAAAGAATCCAAGTATGTGCTCGAAAAAATCCACGTGAACTATGTTTTCCTTTATTTTACTTTAGAAGAAGATATAAAATTAAATTTTTAATTGCTAGTTCTACATATGGAAGCTATATTCTAGTCCAACTTAGTTACCATAATATCTAATTCAGTATTGAACAAAAAATATTTACGACTAGGGGTCGCAATAATTCATTAATTTATATTTAGGCGGCCATTCTAACTACCAAATGCGACGAATAATTTATCCTAATTGAGTTCGGGGCCCCATTTTCCGAAAGAGCGGAGTTGGTATCAATAAAATTTCCCTCTTTTTAAGAGAGGCAATCCTCTTCTTCTGAGGGATGCACAATCAAGAGAGGTGAACCCTAGCCATGTTGCTTTGCTCATAGAGGGAATACAACTTTAGCCATCTTTGCAATTTCCGAACCATTTCTAAGAGTAAGACATTCAGAAAGACGACTTTGCATGTAGTCTGATAAGTCTTGTTGCCTAGTGTCTTGCGTGTTTGTGACACCGCAAATTTGTCACTTCTTTAAACCATCAAATTGTAGCCGTTTCCTACCTCCGGCATTATCCCTATCTACATCTTTTCCTTTAAAAAAAAGTTAATCTATTTAGATGATTAAAGAAATTTCATTGTGATTTGAAGTTTTGCAGGCATTTTGGAGGATTTGGTGATTCATTCGAGGATTTGACGAGCGATATTGAATCTCTAGATCAACAATCATCTTCGGAAAAAAGGTAGTTCTTTTTTTTCATCGATTAATGTAAATTATTTAAGCAAATAATGACTCATTTCCATGTTTGCTTTGGTCTTAAATTTTAGATTTCTCATTGATATTATACAGATTTCACAAATGGAGATATACATTGCAAGTAATTTTCGCCATCAACATTGAAGTTTTCTTTTTTTTTTTTTTTTTTTTTTTGAAGGAAAACTTTGAAGGGTTTTGGTTGGTTATTTGAAATGAGATCTCTCCCAATTTGCAGAATACATAACAAAACTAAAAATATATTGTTATTTCTCAAAAAAATATATTTTATATCATAAAGACAAAGCTCGAAACTTCCCTGATTTTATGGATGAACTTTGAAGATTTTCATACTCAACATTCTTTTCCTTGAGATGTCTTGGTTTCCTCCCCTGAATCGGTTTTAATTACTCTTTCTCCGCAGCTACCTTGAATATTTTGTTGGGTGAAAGAGAAAATTCCAATTTCTTTGAATATATGTGCTATTCAATTAATTTATTTTTTTTAGAGAGAATAGATCTAATTTATTTCCTCTTCTTCAGAGATTATCCCATTACATTTTTGCGATTAATTTTTAAAAAATTTTGTGGTATGGTACGAAAAATACATCATTGGTAATTAAATATGATTTTAATTACAGTGAAATCTTCATAAAGTTTTTGTTAAGTTATCATACGTTTTCTAATATGATATGATTTTAAACTGATGGTATATAACTATATCCTACCAAAAATGTATTTTTTCATATACACTACTACAAAATTATATTTAATTTACTTAATTTTAAACATGCAATATTTTTTGTTCTCTTTGTGTGGGCGTATGCCAATAATATAACGGTCTTGTTTGATAATATTTTTGTTTCTCTATTTTGTTTATAAACACTTAAACATCAGTACTTTTCTTTTAGAAAATATACTTTTTTTTATCTGATTTGTTTTTATTTTCTAAACTGAAAAAAAAACAAAAAAAAAAAAATTAGTAGAAGAATACCCAAGCAAAAATTTTCCTTTTCTTTTAAAGAAAGAAAAAATTGTAAATCTCGAATCCGCTACGGAAGGGTATTTCGTTAAGACAAAAACAAAATAATATATGGAGAATTGCACCTAGCCGCGGGACTATCCCTCCCAAGAATACGGTAGGAAAAGAGAGAGAGAGAGAGAGAGAGAGAGAGAGTTTCGTAACAAAGCATAAAAGAAATATTAAGAAAACATAATTAATCCTAAACTTTCAATATATATATATATATATGTATATGTATACGTATATTTATCCTATATTATGTATTATGTATCTATCTATCTATGCATTTTGTATATACACTAAAGTTCAATAACAGAAGGAAATTTCTCAACAAACTTTTTTGAATATATAGCACCCTTAAACTCAAATATACAGAAATATTTGTATTCCTTAACGTGCATGGTTGCATAAATTTACATGCATACGCAAAAAATAAAAATAAAAATAAAAATAAAATAAAAAAAAATCACATGGATATAAATATTAGTTAACCAGTCTTATTTATTGTTATTCATTTATTTTTTTCACTAAAATCCCGGTAGCACTAAACTTCCATGATATGGATAAATACATGATACAAATACATACGATATTTGACAAGCATAACTGTTGTATATCATAACTAGTTACCAGATCAGGGACTGAAACGGTCCACAAATTATTTTGACAATAACCACTATAAGAGCTTCTCATTGACAATAACTGTTCTTTTTTTTTTCTCTCTCTCTCATTGCCTCAAATATGCTTCCAAAAGTACATTGTAAACAAGAAATACACCATAAATGTCAGTTAAAAAGAAAATTACAGACGAAAAGTGAAGAATTGGGAACAAATCAATTTGATTTTTGCTATGATCACAAGAGAAATACTCGGATTAATTTGGTGTACATCTATGAAAATGATATTAGTCTCTCTAAGTTTATTCTTGATGCACGGCTTTCTAATTTCCTTCTTGTTTTTTTTTAACTCCTTTTCCTTATACCAAAAAAAGAAGGTTTTTGGAACTTATTACCATGGCCTACAAGTTGAGGGATAGGAATGAAGACCCGCTGGTCTATAGAGAGAGAAGTTCATCGGATTCCGAAAGCGATTCGGATGGCTATGACGATCCAGATTACTCCAACAGGCCTATGAGACGACAACCAAGGCAACAACACCAGCACATTCCAGGCGATGTGGGAATGGCCGATCATTTGAACATGAATGGCACTGCTGGATTGGTTAGAAGACGTTCCGGTCGCCCGCCGAGGAATCCTGCTCCTGCCCCAGCACAAAATCAAGGTATCTAAAAATATTAGGGAAAAAATTGACTTTTTTTTTTTTAAAATTTGGCATAAGAAGATTTAAACTTCACGCTTTAAGATGGGATCAAGTGTGGATTTACCATTAAGCCGTGTGTGTAACCACTAGTGACAACTCTTAGACCGTGTTTGGAATTGATTCCGTTTTTATTTTTCACGATTTTCGAGAAAAAAAATTAAAACGTTTCTAAAACGACATTTGGCGTAATAAAGATAAAAAACGGAAATGAAAATGATTTTTTGGTTTAGTGTAAAATGAGAGAGAAATGAAAAACGACTTTTCGTCGTTTTTCATTTTTTGTTTTCGTTTTCTCCTCCTCGAGCAGAAAGAAAGAGAGAGAGGTATTAATGAGTTTTTTTAGACTGAAAATAATATTTTGATAAAACTACCAAACGCATTTTCAAAAATGATTTCTGTTTGAGATTAAAAACGTTTTCATTTTTATTTTCATACAAAAAATAAAATTATTTTAGAACGAATTTCAAACACACCCTTAGTCGCAAAAAAATTTATTCCTTTATTTTTCTTAGCAAAAGAAGATTTCATTTAGTGACCAAGACATTTGAGGCAACCACAATGTCACAAAATATTTTTGCGTTGTTGTGACCGTTCCTTTTGCAGCGCCAAATATTGCGCCAATTCCTGAGAGAAGAAGGAGGAGAAGGCGAGCTCCGTATTCACTGCGAAAACTGAGCAACGCTCCAAGATTCCAAGAGAAGAAAACAATCCTGGCATTGCTGATAGACATGGGAAGAGTTGAGGACAACCAACTAGTCTATTACTGGGACCAGGTCAAAAGGAAAGTAACCCTTCATGGCAAAATTAGCCGAGCCGGGATTCACTGCAGATGCTGCGAAAAGGTGGTTACCGTTTCCGAATTTGAGGATCATGCTCGGAGCGGTTTCAAAGGCGAGCCATATAGGAACATTGCGTTGAGAGACGGCACAACTCTTTTCGTAGGCCAATTTGTGGCATGGTGCAAGATAATGGAACTTTCAGGTTGGTCTTTGTTAAACAATGACTTTGAGCCTAAGAAGAATGCCATGGACAAGAGTGACGACGCTTGCATTGTATGTGCTGACGGCGGAGACTTGATTTGCTGCGAAAAGTGCCCCTCCACTTTTCATTTCAGCTGCCTCAACATGGAGGTAATTATTTCATGATGACCTTGCTTAATTTGTAACGTTTTTGGTACTTGATAATTTCTTTTTGTATTTGGGTTTAATATCATTTTACATACGATAATTCTATTTTGATTCACGACTTTTTAAAATGTCTCAGAACGAGTCTCTGAACTGACAAGTTGTTCGAAATTAACTTTTTTTTATCTATATGACTCTTCAAATCTTAACAGAAAAGAAAACAGGACAACCAAAACATGTGCAATGTAATGACAGTTAACTTTGTAATTCCACATGTAAGGGCACGATTTTTAAAGAAAGAAATTGTGCGTTTTCTATTAAGATTTTAATAATTAGATAAGCGGAATGACTAATTTCAGAAATTAGAGACTCATTTTGAGATATTCTAAAAAAAAAAAAATAACTAAAATGAGATTTAACCTAAAGTTCCAAGACTAAAAACGAGTTTAACACTAGACAAATGGCTTCTCCTTTTCTCTTCAACTTTGTCACCTAAAGTACATCTGCCTCTCCCTCCTTCTCACTAAACATAGGCTATATTCTTTTTAAATTGATTAGTTTTCTGAATATCAGTTTATTTATTGCGTTTTATGGCTTAAATCCGTTTACTTCTTCTATTTTTTTTCTTCCAGAGAATTCCTCAAGATGATTGGCTCTGTGCATATTGTGTGTGCAAGCACTGTGGACTCTCAGAAGGCGACACTGAAATCTCTGAATGCACTTTGTGTGAGAAGACATGTATGTGACTTATTTCTCGATACAAAAGTTAAAATTTAGTTATTATCTGATTCGAGATGAGAATTTGAGTTGAAAAGTGAAATTATGTGAGAGCAAACACTCTATCACAAAAAATTGAATTTAAATTTTTATGAGAAAAAATATTATAACAAAAACTTGAGTTGTGATTCAAACTAACGAAAGAATAATAATTTTTTTAATTTGTTCCGAATAGTTAGTTAGAATATTTTATTAGGTCTTCACTAGTATTACTGCTTTGTATTTTCGCAACAAGTTGACACAATTTTATTTTGCGAACTAATTCGTGTCCCTTGTAGATCACTTGGCTTGTTATGACCAGAAAGAACTCAACCTCAATATTACCAGCACCAAATTTTGCCGGAAGATTTGTGAAGAGGTAAATCCTTTTTTGCTCAAAAACTTGTAATTTTGAACTAAAATTATAATGGAATTATGTTTTTAGACTCTGCGTCTCTCTTTTACTTTTGTTTAACTACACCTGTCTTTATTTTCTTTTTCACTTGAAATACAGTTTCATTCACATTTCAAAGTCTAGAGTCCAGTAAATTATCTATTTATGTCGTATGGTTCGTTTTCTTTTTTTTTTAATTAGGGATTTGAAGTTTAAAATATGAGTATACTTAAAAGTCAAAATTTGGTGTATAATTAAAATATTTTAAAATTTCTATGTAGAGATTACAATTAAAAATTTTCATGAGCAAACCAGGGATAAAATTTGTGGGGATGAATTAAAGAAATAACACTTTTAGAAAATTAATATTTAAATTTTGTGGAATATTTAAACATAACCTACACATAATAATAAGCATAAATAACTAAACTTCAAAAGTAGTACCCAATCTAATTTATACCAAAAACTAATCATACAGACCATAAGTCCTATTAGTCGAAAATTCCAGAGATTCTTCTAGCGGGATTCAAACTCGCGGTATTAGGGTTTATGGCTTCTGAGAAAGTAAAAAACCACTACACTAAAATAACTTCTACACCATTAAGCATGTAAACATAATAACTGTTTAGTTTTTTATTTTTAGGAGATTGTGTTTTATGTTTATATATGTGGTAGTTTTTTTAGAAATATGCATAATTTTATAACTTGATGGATAATTGTTTCTTTTTTTTTTTCATAAAGAACAATTATGGAGAACAATTTAGTTGTCTACATTGAGAAGGTCGTTTATAATAGCACGGTTTCGAAATATGAAAACTCGTCCATGACAATTATAACTATATTCATTAATATTATTTTATTACTAAGATGTGTTAGTTGTACCTGATTTTCATTTTTTTTTTTCTTGATGTGTAATATTCATTCTTGATTGAATTCAGTAAGCTGCCCCATAATACATCAAATAGATCTTTTGTTACCTTAGTTGTATTTACTTTGTAAGATTCTTGTTTTTTCACAAGCGCAAACAATAGTTATAATTAAAATAAGACCATAAAGACATATACATTTTGAAAAGATCCTTTTTATCATCATACTTGCTTCTTTCCGTTTCTGTATTGTAATCGCATACAGTAGTAATATAGTATACGTAAGCAGCATGTATACTATGTTGGAATTTAGTAATGATATAAACATGCTCTTAACAATCTTAAATAGCAATTAGATCAAATACGGAATTAAAATAAACGGATCGAAGAGCACCTCCCACCATTGATGTTCTCGGTCAATAAAGGAGAAATTCAGTTAAGGTTCTTCTAAACCTCACTCAATTTATGTTTGATGGTGTATTTTGGCAACTGAAAGAGACTGCAAGCTTAGGGGACCAAAACCGTGTATGCACTGTCCCCTTTATACACTCTGCCCATCACAGAGTGTTTTTTAGACGTGCACCAAACGTGGGCATCCAAGGGGTCGTGATTCTGAATGTGGTTAAGCACGTTTCTAATTGATGGAAGAATGTGGACCACATTATGTGCAAAATCTTTGGTTGGTTATTGAAGTTAAAGGGAAAAAATCCAACATTCTCCCACTTGGTCCATATATTCCATCATTTACCACAATAAGAAATAAAATACATGAATTGTGGTGATAGATCCTCTAAAGACGAGTATTATCTTCCATGTATTACAATGCATAATATTTCTCAATAATAGCCCATATAACTTAATGAATAAACCCTATGTTTATTCTAGGTCCAAACATTATTTCTCAACAAATAAATGAATGTGTACACAAGTAAAATCACATATGAGAAAACATCACTAATAGAGTTTCATTAAAAATAACATATGTTCTTACAACAAAAATCACACAAAGGAACCAAGTCTCATTTAATCTACATGATCCTTAAATTTCAATGGTAGCATGCCTTTAGTCAAAGGATCAGCAATCATCAATTCAGTGCTAATGTGTTCAATAACCACTGTCTTATCCTTAACACGTTCTCTTATGGCTAGATACTTGATGTCGATGTGCTTGCTTCGACTACCACTTTTATTATTTTTAGCCATAAAAACAGCAGCTGAATTGTCACAATATATCTTCAATGGCCTAGATATCGAATCCACAATCCTAAGGCCAGAAATGAAACTCTTCATCCATACACCATGCAAGGTTACCTCAAAACAAGATACGAACTCAGCCTCTATAGTGGAAGTAGCAATCAATGTTTGCTTTGCACTTCTCCAAGATACAACTCCACCGGCTAACATAAAAACATATCGTAAAGTTGATTTTAGCGAATCAATGCAGCCAGCGTAGTTTGAATCAGAGTAGCCAATCACCTCCAAGTTTTCGGTCCGTCTGTACATAAGCATGTAGTCTTTGGTCCCCTTAAGGTACCTCAACACCTTCTTTGCAGCTCTCCAGTGGTCCACACCTGGATTACTCTAATATCTTCCCAACATCACAACAGCAAATGCAATGTCAAGTCTTGTGCAGACTTTAGCATACATCAGGCTTCCAACAACAGAAGCATAAGGAATGGTTTTCATTTGTTCTCGTTCAAGATCATTCTTTGGCACTGGTTCAAATTGAACCTGTCTCCTTTCACAATGGGTGCTATACTGGGTGAACAATCATTTATCCGAAATGTCTCTAAAACCTTGTTGATATAGGTCTCTTGAGACAGGCCCAAAGTACCTTGAAATATGTCTCTATGTATTTTAATGCTAATGACATACGACGCATCAATCCTTCATGTCAAAGTTTTCAGAGAGAAATTGTTTCACTTTATATAACAAACCCTTATCATTGGTTGCAAGTAAAATGTCATCCACATACATAATAAGGAAACAAATTTTGCTCCCACTGACCTTTTGGTATATACATTGATCCATAATGTTCTCCACGAAACCAAATGAAGAGATAACATCATGAAACTTCAAATACCATTTTTGGGAGGCTTGTTTCAATCCATATATGGATTTCTTGAGCTTGCACACCAAATGCTCATCACGACTAGAAGAGAATCCTTCTGATTGTTTCATGTAAACCTTTTCTTCTAGTTCTCCATTGAGAAAGGCCGTTTTCACATCCATTTGTTGCAACTCTAAGTCAAAATGTGCAACTAATGCTAAAATAATACGAAGAGAATCTTTCTTAGATACAGGAGAAAAAGTCTCCTTGTAGTCGATTCCTTCCTTTTGAGTGAATCCTTTAGCAACGAGTCTTGCTTTACATCTTTCAATGTTGCCCAATGAGTCTTTCTTCATCTTATAGACCCATTTACATCATATGGCTTTGACACCATCAGGCAACTCAACAAGATCCCATACTTCATTGGTTGCCATAGAATTCATCTAATCTTTCATGGCATCATACCATAACTTTGATTCATTGCAACTCATGGCTTGTGAAAACATTTCAAGATCATTTTCAACTCCAATGTTGTAGTCAGACTCTTGTAGATACACAACATAATCACTAGGTATCATTGACTTCCTTACTCTAGTAGATCTCCTTAAAGTTGTATCAACATTTTCCTAAGGATCATGTTGTCTAACCGGTTGTTCAATAATTTCTGGCAATTCTTGAACATCTTGATCTACTGGATTTTGTGAAACTTTAACAATTGGTTGTCCAACACCTGTTTGAACTTGAGGGGTGTTGTGAATGAGAATCAATCTATCACTTGAAATGGAAGGTTGAGTATCAATATGATTTCTTTCAGAAATAATCGATCGCTCCCACTAATCAAGTCATTCTCAAGAAACTTTTCATTTCTTGATTCCACAATCCTAGTGCTGTGAGATTGACAGTAGAATATGTATCCCTTAGACCTTTTAGCATATCCGATAAAATACTCACTAATGGTCCTTAGGTCCAGCTTCTTTTCATGTGGGTTATAAACTCTTACTTCAGACAGGCATCCCCAAACGCACACATGTCGCAAACCCAGTTTTCAACCTTTAAATAACTCAAAATGCATCCTTGGAACAGCCTTAGTTGGAACTCAGTTCAATATATATGTTGTTATTTTAAGAGCTTCTATCCACAAGAATTCAGGAAGCTTGGAGTTGCTACGCATACTCCATACCATGTCCATTAAGGTTAGGTTTCTTCTTTCTGCCACACTATTCTGGTCTGGAGAACCAAGCATAGTGTATTCGGGAACTATCCCATTCTCTTGAAGAAACTTCACAAATGGACCAGGTGCTTGTGTATCCTCAATGTATCTACCATAGTATTCTCCACCTCTATTTAATCTCACGATTTTAATTTGCTTTCCACATTGTTTCTCTACTTCAACCTTAAAGGCATCCAACGTTTCATTTTTGTTACGAAGCAAGTAGAGATACATGTATCGTGAGTAATCATCTATGAATGAGATGAAGTATTTCGGACCATGTGAGTCCATGTTTGGACTACAAATATCTGTATGTATGATCTCTAATATGTATGTACTCATTTTTGCACCTTTCTTGGACTTGTTAGTCTTCTTTCCCTTAATGCAGTCCACACAAGTTTCGAAATCAGTAAAATCAAGAGTACTGGGTACTCCATCATTCACCAATCTCTTAATCCTTTCAATGGAGA